TTGCAGTGAGTAAGCTATGATGACACCACTGCCCTCTAGTCCAGGTAACAGAGCAAGACCCTGTCTCTAAAAAAAAAAAAAAAAAATTTGTTCATTCTACAAAGCTTAACTCCATTTTTAGGCCTTAAATCTATTTAAGATTCCCCCTCATCCCACATAGCCTAACGTGGCAAAAGCCTTCCTACTTTTCCTACATGCTATTCCCTTTGCTTAGACTGTTTTCCAGGTCTGGCTCACTCTCTTTGGAAACTTCTTTCTGATCGCAGGGTGAAGCAAGTGCCTCTCTGAGGTGCTGCCAAGACAACCAATACATACAACAACAGGGTGACAAATAATGTATCATGCAAACTGGGATGGCTATACCTACCACCACACTCCAAGCAGGTACTGCAATTATTTGATTCCCCTGCATTACTGTAAGCTCCCTGAGAACAGGGCATTCTCTTAGGCATTACCGTAATGCCTGACATTTAGTTTATATTTTATGAGTTTCTGAATGAATAAATGTTGAAGTAGATAAGTTTTATCTTGCTTATCAGTTTTTTGCTTATTTCAATCATGGCAACTTTACAGTGGTTGTAAATTTATAAATCATTTTCCCAAACATCACACAACTAATTCTCACAACTATCCTGAATAGGTATTTTTATTATCCTCATTTTGAGAATGAAGAAACAAGTTCATTGGTTGGTTTGCCCCAAATTGCTCATCTTCTAAGTAGAAGCTGGGACTCTTCTGAAAGCCCTAAGTTTCAGTTTTTGTAAACCAGACAACAGAAAGATCTGGGTATGACTATTAACTGAAAGCACCTTTGGAACATTCTAAGCCTCCCAGAGTCACCTTCTTCATCAATCTAAAAGTTTTCATCATTCTCCTACTGCCCATCCTGCAGGAAAAATGACCTGTCCCTTCCCCAACGCCCCTTCCATGTACTGACTCCCACTGTCCACCAGAGCATGCACTGTCCTAATACTACAGATTTAAAGTGGGGATGGAACTCTTCAGTTATCTCTAAAAAGGACTGCATGTGTCTCACATAGACAACTAACAGAAAATTTAATTCTTTAATTTTCAAATTTTATTTTGAAAACAATTTTAAATTCAAAAACAGAGTAATGTAAAAGATACTCATGTCCCCAACACTCTCAAATAAGCAATGTTGTAATTAAATGTCTGTGTACTATTTTGGGGCTTTGTTTTTACAACATCAACTTCCTCACAGCTCACTCTTCTTAAATATACCAGGTTAATTAAGGAATAAGTGATTCTGTACTTTCACTAGATTTCTTATCACAGTCAGTTACAGATTGAACTCCTTGTTCGACTATCCTCCCTTCTCATTATTGCACTTGACTAATTTACAAAAAAAAGATTTCTTGTAGTTAATACACAAATGACTATATGTGCCAAAAGTATACTTAGAAATCTATCTTACATATATACCAAGATGCCAATTATGAGTGATATTCAGGCCTGAGTCCCTGCCACCCACTCCCCAGTTATCAGTCCCTTCCACGCCACATCTGCAAACAGCACAATCAATAAGCCCTTTCTTTACTTTAATTTCCTTTTCATATGTTCAGCATGCAATCTTTGGATACTGATCAAGAGGAACTCCAGTCCCATATCAAGATAGGGATATCTTGGCAGTGGTCTCCATGGCAAGTATACCCACTCCTTCCTAACTATAAATTAGGAAACTCTCTATAAATGTGAGAGTTTTGTTTTAATGAGTTTGGCCCCTATAAATCAATTCATCAGAGGTTGGACAACATTATAACATTAACAACGTAAGAACTAAACTGCCAAGGTACAGTAACTACTTTATAAGGACAAACCTAAAATAGCAGCCCAGTTATATTTAAACTCTCAGGTCTGTTACTTAATCATAGAATTTTAAATCAGCCCAATGCAGAATACTCCCCTGTCCTCTACCTGGCAATTCTCACCAACCTGAGTAGTGAACAGAAAACATGAGCCCTCGCCAGGTGCAGTGGCTCATGCCTGTAATCCTAGCACTCTGGGAAGCTGAGACAGGAGGATCCCATGAGGCCAAGAGTTCGAGATCAGCCTCAGCAAGAATGAGACCCTGTCTCTACCAAAAACAGAAAAAATTAGCCAGGCGTTGTGGTACATGCCTACAGTCCCAGCTACTTGGGAGGCGGAGGCAGGAGGATCGCTTGAGCCCAGGAGTTTAAGGGCTGCAGTGAGTTATGATGATGCCAGCCACTGCACTCTACCCCAGGCAAGAGACTGTCTCAAAAAAAAAAAGAAAAGAAAAAAAAAGAAGGCCGGGCGCAGTGGCTAACGCCTGTAATCCTAGCACTCTGGGAGGCCGAGGCGGGCGGATTGTTTGAGCTCAGGAGTTCGAAACCAGCCTGAGCAAGAGCGAGACCCCGTCTCTACTAAAAATAGAAAGAAATTAGTGGACAACTAAAAATATATAGAAAAAATTAGCCGGGCATGGTGGCGCATGCCTGTAGTCCCAGCTACTTGGGAGGCTGAGGCAGTAGGATCGCTTGAGCCCAGGAGTTTGAGGTTGTTGTGAGCTAGGCTAACACCACGGCACTCACTCTAGCCAGGGCAACAGAGTGAGACTCTGTCTCAAAAAAAGAAAAAGAAAAGAAAGAAAACATGAGTCCATCAATTCATCAATCACCACAGGTCATCCCTAGGCACAGGGAAGCACACACAGCAGCACAGCTATGATCAAATGTTGCCTTCTCTCATTTTAAACAAGGAATTGACTGTTCCCTGTGATTATTTCTAAGGAGTAGGAGTCAGAATGACTTTCATTTTTGTGTTTTATGTACTCCAGCATAGGCTGAATTTTTACAAAGAGCATGGATTTTATAATTTAAGAAAAGTATTTCCATTTTAAGAAAAAAAAAGACGTGTAACTTTCAATTTGGCTCACATATGAATATGAAAACAAAGTAATTTCACTATTTTATCATAAAGAGATACTAGCACAAGAAAATGCCAGGAGAAAACATTCTACAGGGACCAAAGTGACCTCTCAAACAGATGTTTCTCAAATACACCTCAATTTTGGGGGAAGAGATTATAGCTTACAAATAAAAATCTATGGGAATTTTTCTGCGTTTCTATCCCAAATTGTTTTCCCCCCTTCGGGCCAGAAGGTTAATAGCAAAGGCTTAGTGCTTTTCCAGGATAGAGAGGGACAGGCCCAAAAGCAGGCACTTCTTTTCTCCCGCACATTAGAAAGGGAAATGGTGCTGCAAAGAACCCGGAGATAGTCTTAAAAAGCTCCATGTACTGTATCTTCCCCAGAGCCTGGCAAAAGAGGAGAATGAGGAAACAGTACAAAAATTTAGCAGTGTTAAAGTGCAATCAAAACACAGCCACTTGCTCTTGACTTGCAAGAGGCTGAGACTGTGCTTATGTCCTGCTGAGGTCCTGGTTAAAATACAGGTGTTCTCTTCTTTGACAATGATGCACCAGCCTCCCTCCTTACATGAACCCCCAAAAAGTAGGCCATCATATTAGGGGTGGGAAGACTAGAAAAGCTTCAGTAAAGACTGCTCAACCTGAGTTATTCAATACCATGAAAATGTGATCTTAATGGAGAAATCCTGCTTTTAAAATGAGTATGTTAACCGAAGGCTCTACTGCAGACTTTGTGTTTATTAACCTCTGGAAAAGCATTTCACATCCCCTATGCTTCAGTTTCCTGTTTCTTTAAGAAGAGGACACCCCCATCTATCTCCAAAGCCATCCAGTTATTATTGAGACTTTATTAGATATCCAGCAAAGGAGTTTTGAGGTTCCGAGCAAATGAAGGCCAGTCATCATTCAAGTTTTATCTTTTTCTATCTCAAGTCTCCCCATTTCTCTAGATCATATCCATTTGTACTGACAAAATTCCACAGAACCTAATTTCTCCGTTTCAAAGACGACCATGATTGCTTTGAAGTTATGAGAACTGCCTCCTTCACCAAATCTGCTTCAGAGTGTCTCCAACTTCAGCTCAAAAAACTGATCCTAGGTTGTCTCAAAAAGCCTCATACCACTCCTTGGGTTAGAGTGTCAAAGGGAAAACCGTTCCTGTCCTGATACATACTTAGACCAATGGAGAATCGGCATATACATACCACATTGAAACTAGATTTAAGAACATTATTACACACATACAAATGTCCTATCCCCAGAAAACATCAAAGACTTTCAACCTCTTCCTGACGCGCCCAATTTAGAAAATGTCCTGTCAACCCTTCAGATCATGTAGACGCGTTGCTTAGGTAGAAAGGGAGACTGGGAGGGGTGGCTGAGCTCAGACCCATGCCTACATACTTTAGTGGTAACGACTCCCGATCTGCATCCAACACATTTACCGAACGCTAACAGAACTTCTAGTAAGCGCCTACCACTGGAAGCGAAAGCATGTCCTTCCCAGGAAACAGAAGGTCTTTTCCACTGAAAATTCCCAAATCCCAGACTTTCCACTTTTTACTGAACAAAAAGCGTGTCTGCCGGCGAGAGGGGGTGGGAAAGAGCGTAGCAAGAATTTTGCACCACTCTTACGCCTCCTCCCTCGGAGCGCGCCCAAGTCTGCGGCCTCGGGCTCCGGGACACTTCCCCTCCCACCCGCCGCGGAGCCGCAGCTGTAAGTTAAGAGAAGCGGGCTCTGGGCACGTCAATCAACCGGGTCCTCCCGCCTCCCGTCTACACCTCCCCTCCCCCCCCACCAGAAAAATAAAGCCAGAAAAGAAAGGAAAAGAAGGTAACTAATTTGGGAACTAGTCTCCGGGGGGCTTCGCCTCAGACCCAGGAAGGCCGACGCCCCGGACCGGCGCGACGGCATCAAGAGGCGGCCTGGCAGCCACCCGTCGCCGAGTCCTCGCAACGCGTCCGCCGCGCTCCGGCTCCCCGCACGGGTCGGCGCCGCTCCGGCCCCGCACTCCGCCAGGCCCGCGGCCCGTCGCCCTCTGGCCCGGGCCAAAGTTGCGCAAATAGCCCCACAACTGGCAAATACTCACCGGCCACAGCAGGAACCAGGGCTGCGGAGATTTTAGGGAGTTTAAGGCAAATCAGCCGCGGGAAAGACGGGCGGAGGCGAAGGGGCCGCGAGCTGCAGTGGCGGTGGCGCGCGGCGCTCGGGCTGGGCTGCGCGGAGAGGCTCTGGCTCTGCCAGGGACTGTGCTGCAACAAAGGACTTCCGCTGCCGCACAGCCGCGCCTGCCGCACCGCACTGAGCCGGCCCCGCTTACGCGGCGACTCCGGGTCTGCCCACCAGTTCGCTGCGGCGTCCGCCAGCCTTCCCCTCCCTCTCGCCCGCCCACCCACTCCGCCGCTGGCTGCTAGGGGCACCCGTGGTCGCCTGTTTGTTGCAACAAGTTTCTGCGTCGGGCTCCGAAGAGGCTGGCGCAACCCGCACCGCGGGGGCCGGTGCGGCGGCAGTTTGACCACCCCTCTCGCCCCTCTCCCAAGGGTAGGCTTGGGACCTCCTCCTCCTCCTGCTGTTTGCACAGCTGGATGGGACTGGGCTCCTCCTGACTCCCCAAGGACAAGATGCTGCTTTCCCACTCCACCCAGATGTCAGACCCCTGCGCCGGAGGGCCCTCCCTCGCGCTACGCCCCAGGCGTTCTGGGGGCGTCCCGTCCCGTCCGCGACCCGTCGGTTAGGGGTCGCCCATTCCCCGTGCTCCCCCCACCCCGCCATCCGTGGGCCTGTCTGCCTCTGGCCCTGAGTCACTTCCCCCGCCATGCCCCACCTCGCCCAGCCTACCTCCCCTCCCAGACTCCTGCGGCTCGGCCTCACTGGCCCCACGCCCTCACCCCTTCCCCAGCGAACACGCGGGCGCATCTTTTCCCACCCCCCACCCCAGAATTGAGGGGGTGCCCGTGCTTTTGCACACCCTGGGGAAAGTCCCCGGGTCACGCGGTTGTGTGGGGAGCCTGTGACGCTCAGACTTGTCCCCACGCTTCCGCCTACAGAGTCACGACTAGGGACTGTGGTGGCAGAGCGCGGGCCGACCCCCGCCCGGCCACTCAGGCGGGCGGGCGCGCACGTACGCACGCACGCACGCACACCCCGGCCCTAACGCCCCTAGTTCCCCGGCTACCAGGCGGGCGGTCACGTGGGCTCATTGCTGGGCGGCCGGCGCGGGAAGCCGCGCGAGAGCGGGCCGCGGGGTGCGTGAGCCGGCGCTGCCGCGTGCCGTGCGCGGCGCGGGAGCCCGCCCCTCCTGCCCGGAGGAGCCAGCCGGCCGCCGCGGCGGCGTCTGGGTAAGCGACGCGGCCCAGCCCCTGTGGGCTGCTCTGGGCTCAGGCCCTCCCGCCGCGAGCTGCAGAGGGCGGCGGCCTGCAGCTGCACCGGTTTCGGGAGACAGATGCAAGTAGCCGGGGAGAGGGGTGTTTTTGGTCCGTTTGAGATGTCAGTCAGGGCACAGGAGGAAAATGGCAACCTCGAGTGAGGGCCGAGGATACCCAGAGCCACCCTTCGCTGTCTCCCGGGGCGGCCACTGGGGTCTGATGTTGGCGGGGATGGCGCGCGGGGGGGCGCCGTAAAGGCATGGAGCCCTCCCCTGCGGGCCTGGGTGCTACCCAGAGCAGGAAACCCTGACAGGACTGCCGCATTTCCTGGGCGGCCGGCCCGACCCCTCTTGCAAACGGGCGAGTCTCCAGATGCAGGCTTCGAGGACGCTGCGGCCACTGTCCTCCTTCCCAGTTTGTGATTACCCAGTTTCTAGGGTAGGAAGCCCTTCCCCAATAATATATTTTTCTTTTTTCAATTTTTTTATCTCGTTCTAAACAAATCCAGTTTTTGGAAGCTCACCCGTGTTATCACTGCCTTCCCTAGCACTCATAATTTGGAGAAATCAAACTGTTACCAGTTACTTGGCGCATAAGGCAGTACCTGGAACTTGACAGCAGCTAACGTGTTTCATAAATTAACGTCCGTATCCCTCCAAGGGATTAAATTTGGCATTATTTCTCCTAAGACTCAAGTCTTTCTCATAAAGCTACTGATTCACGGGATTATGTCAAGTGTGTAATGTACACTTTGGAATCTCAAATTTTATAGCTGAAAGGTACCTTATAGAAAATCCATTTCATCCATATCCTTTTACAGAGAAGACACCAGGCCTAAAGTGTAGTTATAGCTTGATTGAGCTATACCTCTTGATAACTAGACTTCAAGACTCCATCCAGACACCTTGGTCATTACACTCTCCACCATGCCAAGACTGCTTTGCCGGTTTAACCCGCTCACTGTGGAGAATTATCGTCAAAGGTGTTTACACTGGCTTGATTCAGGTTATTGAGAAGTCAGGCTTGGCCATTGTGTGCTCAGGAATAGTGGAGTTGGCACTATTTCTAGGTGGGCTAGGCTGCCTATGATGGACTTTGGACCTGAAAGCCACCGCCCCCCCCCCCCAATTCAGCCTTATTCTCTGCAAGAAAAACTAACATTTGCAGCATTAGTTGCTTCTTTAAGTCACCAAAGTCCTCTTTAGCAATCTGGATGTGTTTTAGTTGAGAGTAAACCATGAATTCATTATCAGACATCAGCTGGGATGGGAATCAGTTGGTTTTGATGTCTGGGAAGCAGTGAAACATCAGGGGATGGCCTGCAGGAAGCAGGCAGGGACCCCCCAAAACCTGCTACACTTTTTTTATCCAGTACTACCCTGAATGTCTTATTTGGTTGTAGTGGAGATGGATTCTGCTCAAGTTGGTCTCTGTTTATTGAGTACCTGATGGGTGAGGTCCCATACTAGCTGCTTTTATAGATGAATTTTGAATTCTTAACAAAAAGGAGATGGCCCTGTCTCCATGTTACAAGCCTGAGGAAACAGGCTCAGAGATATTTACCTAGCTGCGGTGATGTAGTCATTTGCAGTGAATTTAAGCCTAGATCACTTATCTCTTAAGTCCAGTCAGTGATCTTTTGCATTATATCTTGCACCCACTTCAGGCCGGGAAGGGGATGAGAGAATCGCCTGTGGCTGATTTATTGGCGCCTGTGGTTGCCCAGAGAGGCCAAGCAGGACTTTCAGCTGCCCTCTGTGCCTTAGAAAGTGGAGCTTGTGCTTCCACCCTATCTCCTGAGGGGAATGCAAAGGAGCCAGGCTGTCTAGCTGGGGAGGAGGGGCCCAAGTGCCTTGGCCATAAAATATCCTGGCCAGGGCTGTGCTGGGAAGTGTTGCATAATGCCCTCCCCACCACTGAAGCAAAGTGATTTATTTACTATGGTCTGTAGGTGGTGCTTGACCAGCCTGTCCTTTTCAGCAATAACAGGGCCAGAAAAGAGGGGTTTTATATTATTGCAGGTTTTTTCCTTGGTTTAAAACAGTGCAGGTGCTCTTATCTTGATGAATTATAAAGTACTTCTACACCACTTCCTGTGCCCCCTTTTTGCTTATTTATTCCAAATAGCATGTGAACTTCAGTCTTTTGATAGGAGAAAGTTAAGAAAAATATTGTTCCAGTTTATAGTTATTAACAGAGGCTATGGTGCTAGACCTGACTTTTTTTTATCTCAGTTTGCTAGTTGTGTGTCCCAAGTCGAGGTTTTTTCCCTCATCTGTAAAATGGAAATGAAAATAATGTTTATTAGTCACAGTGAAGATTGAAAAAGATAATGTACATAGAGCACTTAGCACAAGGCCTTGCCTAATGTATTTACACATAATAAAGGCTATTGAAAATATCCAGAACAGTATTCTCCCTAGGAAAGGAAGGATATTGATACTTGAACCCGCTTAAGGAGAATGGAGGAAGAAGAAAGTGTTTGAAGCAAACATCAGTTTAAGATTATTGATTAAATCTATTTACACTTGGCTTTTCCTTTGCTAGCAGGAATTTTATTTCTTTCTTTCCTTTCTTTCCCTTATTTGGAAAAAAGTGTTTTAAGTGTTGTCAGCTGTTTTTGAAATTTTTCTAATTCATTTCTTCCCTGGTTACAAATCAATTGTACATGGATGTTTTGTTTCTTCTGAAACACTATAGGCATTTTAGTTAAAGGGTTTTATTAGCCCACATGGGTAATGTGTTCATGGGACTGTAGTTTCATGGCAAAGGAAGTTACCTATATTCAGAAGTTATAATCACTCTTGTCTGTACTATACTCTAGGTCTATACTAGCACTGTTATTTTC